CCCGGCCGGGGGCATCACGCCGCGTCCTGAGCTCGCCACAGACGGAACCCCGCCAGGTCACAGACGGGGTCCCTGAGGAGAGCCCTAAAGAAGCGTTCCCTTCGACGGTCACTCCGCAGCACGATCGGATCGTGACCTCGGGCCACTCTGAAGGCCCTGACTGCCCTGTCCCGGGCACACCGACTCGTTCACAGACCCCCGCCCCATTTTGCTCGGAGGGATACCTCGCTGCGTCGCCTTTACCTCAGCGGCGGGACCGGTCGCGCGCACCCACCAGCAGGTCGCTCCGAGAACGCGGAAGAGGCGGTACTAGACCCGAGGGGCGGGCCCGACCGGAGAGGGGCGGAGTTGCGCATGCGCCCTGATGGCTACGCCGCGCGAAAGGGTGGGGGCGAGCTAAGTAAACTGAGAAGACGCGCTAGAGAGGGGCGGGAAGATTGCTGGGGCGGGGGGTGGAGCTTCGCTTCTCTCCGCGCTGTGTGTTTTCCGAGTGAAGGTCGCGAAGTCGGGGAAGGGCCAGGAGGGAGGCGGCCAAGCGGCGGCAGGTGTAATTACCCTTTACCGAGAGTTTCTGAGAGCTTCCGTGTGCCAGGATGGAATTTTTAAAGTGCCTTTTGCACATGGGGAAATGCTGCCAGTCTTTTCTAAAACGAGGGCTAGTTCCGTAAAATTTCTTCAGACGTTTGTGTACCTATCATTTTATTTTTTTAAATTTATTATTTTTTTAATTTATTTATTTGACAGAGAGATAGCACAAGTAGGCAGAGCGGCAGGCAGAGGGAGAGGGAGAAGCAGGCTCTCTGCTGAGCAGGGAGCCCCATGCGGGGCTCGATTCCAGGACGCTGGGATCATGACCTGAGCCGAAGGCAGCCGCTTGACCGACTGAGCCACCCAGGCGCCCCGTTTGTGTACCTATCATTTTACCCTAAGAGTGTTCCTTAAGCAAAGCGTTACCCCCAGGAGTTCAAAATTAAACACTTAAAAGTTCATTTCTTGGAGAAAACCAGCTGCGTTTAATTAATATTTCAACCAGCCCCCTGCCGCTGCTTGGCGGCCTACTTCCTGGCGGCCGAAGCCTGCAAGTGTAATGAGGGAATGGGAGTGCTGACTTGGGTTTAATTCAGGTCCTGACTTTGAGTGTGTTTCCTCCTTGGTGAAATGGAAGTAAAATATCCCTTCCCTGTCTGTCTCAAGATTGTTGTGTGAGTCTGGTGAGCACTGCTAGTTAAGAGCCTCTTAGACTTCCATCCCACCATCCTGATGAATGTTTGTTCTTTTCCCCTTCTGGGCTCAGTCTTCTAATCTCTATGATGGAAGAAGGTCTGGAACCTGAGAGAACATTCAGGGATTTGCTGCATTTCTCACTCTGGGTGAAGGCTGGAGAGGGGGCCTTCTCCCAAGCTTCTGTGTTGAGTCACTTACAGAATCCCTCAGTCCAACCCGAGGGCCCCTGTATATCCTGACCTTTCCCACCCATCACCTTCTAGGCCCACTCAAACTTCATGTCTTCAGTGCCCACGCTGGCCTGTTCCTCTCTCTGTTCCCTGAATATCTAAATAGCCAGCTGGTCCTGAGTCTCTCAGGCCCATGTTTCAATCCAGGTTCTCAAAATTGTTATGTCTCTATGTACATGGTTCAGTTAATACTAGATGAGGGCTCTGGAGGATTCAGAGAAGGAAGGGCTCCAGGAGGGCTCCCCCAAATCAGGTGGACCTCCAGCTGTACTTTGGCTCCCTTCACCATGCACTACATACAGCTTCTGAGGGTAGGAGAGTGGGAATGGCAACAGGAAACCTCAAAGAAGCTACAGTGTTCACCAGGGCCAAGGGTGGTGGGGTATCCTTTATTCAAAGGTAGATGCTCTGCCCCAAAATCGGGGGAGTGCCTTGCTTCCACCTCATTCCCTGCTCTAAATATTTTTATGGATCTTGAACAAACAGGAAAACAAACCCTTCTGCAGTGACTGCCCAACCAAACTGTCCCTCTACCCCCAACACATTGCCCCTCACAGGACCTTCTCCTGCCAAGTTTTGCCCTATGGGGTGGGGGAAATGCTGCTTGCTTTCCTCTGGCTTGCTGAAGCCCTAGCTCTCTCTTCTATATCCTTTTTCTTTACCTCTGCTCAGTCTTCTCTGAGAATCCCCCTCTGAATTTTTTTTCCTCTCTGAATTTCTCAAAGCAGTTTTGTGATGTCTTCCTGATGTAATCAGACATTCCCATGTTAAGGCCACACAGTTCTGAGATAAATTTACCTTCTCTGCTGCAGTGTATTCCAAAACAACTATGAACGCAGAGCCTGAACTGTGAGTCTGAGCTGTCCAGTCATTGAGGAGGTAGTGGTGACCTGTCATAAGAGGTATGCAAGCAGGGCCACCTTTTAGGATGCTGGGCTGGGCCTCCTCTGGTGAGCCTGAAGAAGGAACAGCAGAGTGGAAGGCCTTCCAGACATTAAAGCAGTGAAAGCAGGAATACTGGGCACTAGGAAGGGAGCCAGGCAGCCAGCCAAAGACAAACCTGATTTGGTAAGCTATTACATGTCAAGCATTTAGAACTGTGCCTGACACTCAGTGAGTATTAGCTATTACTGTTGTGATGGTGAGTGATCCACAGACTGTGAGTAATGAAGGAGCTCAGAGATAAGTCAGTCCCTCGCTCCCACACCTGCTCATGAAATGGACTGGGAAATCGAGGTCTAGAGGGGAAAGAGGCCCACCATTGTACCTTAGGGGCTGGGCTGGGACTAGACCTCAGGATTCTACCTCCCAGGAGAGCCACTGCACAAAGCCAGCCTGTCTCCTCAGGGAGAGGAAAGAGCTCTAGATGGCCCTTTGCTGACTCTTGTATGGGCAGCTGGTGGGTAAGGGATAGTGGAATCATAGCAAGACCTGAGCTAAGGGGCTCAGATGTATCCTGAGGAATAAGCTCAAAAGTCAGCCCCATGTCTTGCCACCCCCACTTTGAGCTCTAGCCAGCACCCAACAAACAGCCTTTTCTTGAGAAAGGCTTCCTTTGCTGTCATTAGGGTTAGGACTATAGTTCTGCTCTGTCCCTTGACCCATTCGCTCCAATAAACCACACAGACTAAGGGGGTGGGATGAGAATAGCCATGCCAGGGAACCTGAGCTGAAACAAGGAAAGACTCCCAAGAGACTGAATTTCCCAAAGGCAAGGGCCAGCCCTCCCTACTCCTGGACTAGGCCAGAAATTCTGGGTCCAGAATTCCTAGAGCCCTGGGAAAACCTTGGTGTCTCCACCCTGGAGAGCTAGGCCAGACATGACCACACCAGCCGGCCCTCCACATGGCCTGGGATCTCAGGACAAAAAGCCCTCCCTTCTCCATTCTGGCCCAGTTCCCTCCACAGCCTGCCCAGGAGCCATGTGGCACCCAGACCACAGTTTCCCACCAGTGCTGCTTTAGTTTGCCTCCTTTATTTTACCAAAAATAACAATAATAAACTCTTCCCTCTGTTTCACAAAAATAGATTTCCCGTCTCCCCACCCCCTCCACAGTCAGCACTGGCCACAGCCTAGAACCCATCTTCCAATCCACAGTCCTCCCTGAGGGAATCTCTGATCCCCCCGGACCTCACCCCACCCCAGAGCCTCTGGCAAAGCTGCTGGGTCAGTGTTTCCCTCGGGAACTTCTCCAGAGGCAGCGGTCTGGGGTCCAGATGGGGGCCCCAGGAGCCCCATCTGCTTTCTCAGAGATCAGGCAGCTGCTGGGCCACGGAGAGGGGCATAATTTTGGAGGCTTGGCTCAGCATACAGCCCCAGCAGACCTGCGAGGCAGTGGGCACTCTGGCATTCACTAGAAATCCTTGCTCAAAGCAGGAACAATTATGCTCTAAAGAGGGGCTGTCAAACCCTCTTTCCACATGCAACTCATCTCCCTATGTAGCAATCCACAGGCCTTGGGGTGGGAGTCAGGACCCCTGTTTGCTAGTCTAGCTACACAAAAGCCTCTCTGTGAGGCCTTGGACAGTTTCTCTCTCCTTTCTTCCTGGCTTTAGCTTCCTCCTACGTACGTAGATGATTCTGGGAGACTGGATGATCCTCAGGCCCTTTCTGGCTCTCCATCCTGGCCTCCCAGTGTAGAGGCTCTGGGAGGGAGGGCCCTGTCCCTGCCTCAGCTTCCCCACCGGTGGGTCTGGGCACAGGGCTAGGCATGGTGGTACAGAGTAATGGAGTGTCGAATGAACATGCCAGGTTCTCTGTGGATAGCTATCCAACCAGTTGGAATGTCTCACGGATGGCTGGGCAGGAGGCAGGTCCTTGCAGGATGGGGGCTTTCCAAGCCTGGAAGAGTCCATTCACTAGCAATACGTCTTCACTGGCCGGGGATGGGAAATGAGTCTCCGGGGTTTCTGAATTCAAGTTCCACTAGCTCCTTGGGTTGGAGGATTATCTTGCACTGGGCTTCAGATCCTGAGAGCCAAGTCTATAGATTCTGGGAGCTAGATGGGAGTGTATGATTCCCAATTTAAGGACCAGAGGACCTTTGTGGACATGAGGGATCGCTCCCAGCCCTCAGGAGGCTGTCTATAATCAGGCTTTCCTAGAGGCAGAGGGATGAGTGAAATGACAGTTCCTGGGCATCTCTGGCTGAGCAGATCAGAACCTGTGTCTGTGGTGGGCCAAGGTTTAGGTACTCAGGGCGACTCCCTTCTTAAGTCCCTACGGCTCCCCAGAACTCATGCTTATGGAAGCTGGTAGCCTGAAGGTTCAAATAAAGAACTACATCTACAGTCATATTTTGTGCACTTACACACATGGTTAGACCACTGACCTGTCATCACTCCCCCAGGGGTCATGGTCTGGTGGTCCCTATCCCTACTTCCTTCCCTGCTTCCTTCTGTTCATTCATTTACCTAGCATTTATGGAGGGTCTTCTATGTGCCAGGGAGTGTCTAAGGCAGCTAGCTCTTACAGACACACCCCACAGTGAAAATCACACACTCACACCCACTCACGCAGAGTCATCTCTGCTTTTTCACACACAGCTTACTTACACTCTTGTACCTTTCTCGCTATCACTCAGCCACATCCACATTCCCCACATGGGCACGGGAACCACCATGGAAGGGTCAAGGACTGGAGCAGAAACCTAGCCTATTCCACCCTAGACTTCATGTGAAGATGTAGCTCCTTCTTTCCTTCTGTTTGCCCACTTTTAAGCTCTCCCCTTCTCCACTGATAAGCAGTCAGGGGGCATGTGGGCAGACTCTTGAGAACCACAAGTCCAGGGGCTTTGTGTGTGTGGAGGGGTCCCAGAGACTTTAGGTTCCTCTGCCACCAGATTCCTGAGGGTCTTCTCAGCCACTCTGTGTTCAGATGGTCCACCTGACAGGAACAACTCTAGGCTTGGGCTCAGTGACAGATCCGCTCTGTCATCTCCCTCTGCAGAGACAGAAGGTAGGTAGGGGTCAGTCAGAGCTCAACCTACCAGGCAGCCCCTTCCCAAACCACGGGGCCTGGCTGTTCTTCTGCCTGAATCTGGCCCCTTCCCGCACCCCCCCACCCCAACTGCAGGCTGTAGATCTGAGTCTATAAACTGAGACTAGAATGAATTCTCTATTAAGTACAGAATCCACTGTTCAATGAATTGCCTTCCCCTAATTTATCCACGTGGGGATTGGATTTTCTGAAAGTAGGTAGCCTTTGGATCTGAAAACTCCAAGGTTAGCCCTGGGAGGGGAGGGCGGCAGGGGCCTGGCCTCACCAGCGGCTCCAGCTCCCGCTGGTCCACCAGGCTGAACTCACGGATGAAGTAGTAGAAGTGTTTGTAGCAGGTGTTGACGTGTGCTTCAGCCCCCATGCTGAGGATGCTGTCGAAGTGGTGGATGTAGACATGGACGAAGACCCGGAAGAGGCGAGTCAGGATCTTGGTGCAGACCTGCTGGAAGTTCTTGGGGAAGGGAACTCCTAGTGGGCGGGGATGGGCAGAAGTGGGGGGATCAGCAGTCTGGGGATGAACCGCTGCCCAACCCTGCCCTCCCCACCACAGGCAGCCTTCACCCAGGATGGCCACTTCCTTGCAGGGGACGGAGAGACCAGGGCCCGCTTTTTCCCCACTTTTAAACAAAGCACAGATCTCACTGTGCCTCTCCCCTGCTGAACTACGAATCATCTCCCACATTTCCCCATCACCCAGAGCCAGACTGCAACCATGCTGGGGCCACTGACCAACCCTTCTTCGACTACGATGGAAGTTACGCCTAGATTCCCGCAGAAATATGTGTGTGTGTGCAGGTACTGCCCCGTGATATCTTGGGTGTAATTCCAAGGTGAGTTTATCAACATCGCTAGTCCATTTTTAAAAACACAGGTCTTCGGGATTAAGTTCTAACTTCGCAGCATGGTGCCTGCTCAAAGCCTTTCATGATCTGACCCCAACCTCCTTTGCCAGCCCCACCCCAACTCCTTCCTCTTCATAACATTCACACAGCAGGCCCCAGATCCTGCATCCTGAGAATTACAAAATCCTCAAGAACTAGTTCAGATACCTCTCATTGCTTCAACTATTCAATAACACAAAGAACCTTCCATCTTTGAGCTGGGCCCCGTGCTGGGTCCTCTGCACCTTTTGCCCCCTGTGATATGGGTACGGTAGCCCTTCTAGACCTGATAAAGTAGAGGTGCATGATGGCGACCCCACTCGCCCAAGGCGATACTAGCAATTAGTACAGACTGGAGGCAGGATTCAAACCTGTGGGCACTGCCCTGCAGCGACCTGCAGAGACAAACGTCACACCCCCTGCCTGAGAGAGGCTCCGGCACCTGTAAAAAAGGTGTAATTTTGCCACAGTCCCCCCGCGCTGAGGGCAGAGATCTTGGCGACTACGCCTTCTTCCCCGCTGTGGCAGAGCCATCCCCAGGGTTAAGGCACAGACACTGGGGTATCCCAGGCCTGGGGGTTAAGCCTAGAAGGGAATAAGAGCCCAGACATGGGCCCATACTGGTCCACCCTGCTCCATCCGGGTCCTCATGGCTCTCAGGTGGGGTGGAGCCTACCTTCTTGTGAGCCCTTGCAGGCCCAGCCCAGGTTCCTCAGACTTGTCCTGCCCATCTAGACTTGGGGGCCTGGACCCCAAGAGACCTGAGGTGCAGTTCTGAATCCCTGATTCAGTGCACTGTCCCTCTCTGTTGGCTTCAGTTCCTCCTATGTGAAATGCAGATGCCCACTGCTGGGCATGATAATGCAGGAAATGACAGGCCCCCAGATGGGGAGGGGCTGTGAGCCCTGAATTGTGACTCAGTGCCCAGCCTCCCTCAGTATTCAGACTTCTCCCCTCTGGGCTTGCCCACCCTGCCCCACCCATCTCTGATTCCCATAGCCTTAACGTGGAGAACAGCAGGCCAGGTGGGGGTGGTGATGCTGTGATGAATACAGTGTCATGCTTGCTTGGCTCCTGGGCCGACACCCGCTCTTGCTGCCCTTGGGTGGGGAAGCAGGGCCAGTGTGACTTCACTCATCTCCTCTCGCCACCCTCACCAGGCTGCCCAGCTGAGATAAGAAAAGGCCCCAGAGCTTGGGCCTGACAAGGGAGAATTCTGCCCTTAGACCCCTCTGAGGTACAGATACAATCTGGCCCTCCCAATCCCCACCCCCTTCCCTTTCCTGAAGGGAAGAGTCAGAAGTAACAGGCGACTGCAAGTCCGTCAGCCCAGGCAGGGTGACGGGCTAGGAGCACCTAGAGGCATTCTCTTCAAGAAGGTTCCAAAAATCACAGTGGTCTTGCCAGGGTGGCTCCTGGAGGGACATTTAAGCTTCAGATAAGAAGAGTCCCAAGCTGAGAGTCAGGCAGTCCTAGCTCTAGATGCCTGATCTTGGCAGACACTTAAACTTTCTGGGCCTCAGTTTCCTCTTCTACAAAATGGGGATGAAAATCATGTCCCGCCACCCCCCACCCCCAGCCCCACAGAGAACTGCTATGTCAAACTAAACGCCCATCTACAGAACGGGCTCTGGCGGCTCCCTCCCTCCCCGGCCGGGTGTGACTCGCCTGCCGGGAGGCACTCACCAACACGAGTGGGAAAGACGTCCTCGTCATTGATGAGGCCCTCAATCCAGTCCATGAGCAAGGCCATGTAGTGCGGGGCCGAGAGCTTGGCGGGCCGCCGGTACCGGCGCTCATCCTGCCAGCGGTACTCATAGCGGGGCCCGCCGGCCATGACCGGGCAGCTGGTCTCGCTGCAGCGCTCGGCCATGGTGCCGTAGATGAGGTTGATGCGATTGAAGAAGTCCACCACGTGCACGGCGATCCAGTCGTCGATGTTCTCCCCCGGCGGCAGCCTCACCACGCTGCGCAGGTCCAGGCCCGACTTGAGCGATGCTTGCGCCTTCTTATACAGCTCGAAGCGCTGTGTGCCTGGCTCGAAGCGCTTCCGAGGCCGGAATGTCTTGTCCTTGGCGAACACCTGCTTCAGGCACAGCGCCATGGCCGGCTGGGCGGAGGGCCAGGTGTCCAGGGGCAGGACCTGTGGATGCCCTGCCAGGGCCAAGGGCACGGAGGGAGCGTGGTGGTCAGGTCCTCACCAAAAGGCTTTGACTTCCCAACACATCATTTCCCTCGCACCCTCAGCTTTTGGCCAGCCTCTGCAGCCTTCGCCTGGAGTCTAAATCCCCCCGCATCCCCTAGGGCCAGGGCCCCTGCCCGGTCTCCAGGCTACCCTCGCTCCCCCGGCCAAGCGGCCTCAGCCCTCCTAGCTCATTTTGTTTCCTCTCCCCTCTCACTGAGTCTCACAGAGCTCTGGGCCTGGGCTCCAAAAAGGTGCTCATCTGACTTCTTGTTGACCATTAGAGAGGTGGCGGAGGCTTCCTGCAGGCTCGCCAGGAGGCAGGAGCCTGGGTGAAATGACCTCGGGGGCGCCCCGTGGGCCAGCCGGTGCAGCGTGGGAGAGCCTGGCTGCATTGTGCTGGGGGTCAGGGTAGGGGCAAGGCCCCGCCTTCAGCTTCCTCTGGGATATCCCGTAGTCCATCCGGCCACCGGGGATTCCCAGGGAGCAGGAGGGACTTTTCTACCAAAAATGTACTTTCCTTTTATTACCCTGGAAGGGGACAGGGCCCTCATATGGCCAGCTGGGTGACTTCTGAGTGTCGCTGCAGGTGCTGGAGGAGAGGGGGATGTGGCGGGTCCGGATGGGGGCCACTTCCTCTGACAGCGGCTAGAGATCCTTCCCCCGCCGAGCCAGCCTCCTCCTGCCCCAAAGCAAAACAAGCCACTGGCCTCTCCTCCTGCACCTGACATACATGTTCTGCAAGTACCTACTACGTGCCTGGCACCAGGAGGTAGGAGAATGCAGTCAGGTCTACCCAGCTGGGCCTTTCTAGAATTCAGACAAATTTGCTTTGCCTCTCAAATGGAGGGATCCCAGACTCAGAACAGACTTTGGGACAGCAGAGCCCCAGGCTTGGGGGCAGGAGTCCTGGATTCTAGTTTCAGCTCCACCATGGCTGGTGACCGCCAGAGCAAGCACGGGTGTGACCCATACAATGTCCTAGGTCACACAGGCATAGGCCAGGTGTCTGGGACTCACGTGGTAGTCATTTCACCTCCCCTAGGGGTGTGTGAGTCCTCGGGAAACGTGGACCCAGGTACCTGCTGAGACCAGAATTTAGCCACAGACGGAGGGCTAAGGCTGAGCGTAGGCTAAGCACTGAGCTGTGGCTCCCGGCTGACCTCTGACCTGGCCCTGACCCCGGTCAATCTGAGTCCTGACTCTACCCCGAGACTGAGGCTGACTACAGCCACAAACAAAGCCTCGCCTTAACCTCAGAGCTGACACAGGAGCACTTAATCTTCTCACATCTCTCATAATGCTGGGGCGGGATGGGGGAAGGAACGAGGCGACGGATGGAGGGAGATGCATGTCAGACAACAAGTCAGGCTAGTGGAGAAGTCTGGAACAACGATTCTTCCTCGTACCCACAACAAGCAGGCCAGGATGGGAATGGTCAAGTCAATGACAGGCGTTTGGGGAGTAGGGGCAGATCTCCCAGCAGGACCTTGTCCTCTTGAAAAAATCCCTCAAAGATGTGGAAAGTCATCTCATCCATTCCTTGATCCTCGACTTCTACCCAAAGAAGTGTGGATCCTGGGTTTCCTGATCCCAGAGGAGGAATTTCCACACTTCACATGCCACCTGTATTCCACACTCTGCTTGGGGCAGGTGCTTCCAAAATCATTCCTACTGCAGTTAGGTGGGGTTCCTGGTTCTCCTCCTTTGCACAGCCCCCTTTACTGACAGTTACCAACATTCATCACCTCACCCTGTCTTTCCTGCCCACTTCCCTCTGCCATCCCCCCCAACCTTGGTGCTGCTACGTGATCCCTGAACCTATCCCCACCCTCCTGCCTCTGTGTGTTTTCTCACACCAGTCTCTTTGTCTGACTATACATGGTCAGGTTGAATGCTATCTCCTCCCACAGCCCCCTCTACTGAACCCAGATGTCTTTCTCCTGGGTGGGGGGAAGGCTGCTCTTTGGCCACTGTTGTTCCCCCCCCCCCAGTCCCCCCGCCCCTCCCCCTGCCTAGGGCAGGGCCTGGCACATAGTTGATGCTCAGGCTTTAAGTAAAGCTTAGAGTTTCTTTTTTCTTTTCTTTTTTTTTTTTTTTTTAGTAATTTCTTTTTTTTTAAAGCTTAGAGTTTCAAGAGCCCTGAGAAATCAACTGACCAACCCACTTCTTGCACAGATGGGGAAACTGAGGCCCTCTTTCTGAGGAGCCGCCATTCACACAGCAGTTACTGACAGGGGATCTCCAAAGGCAGAACTGGGAACTGGGATAAGGTGGGGCTCAGCCCATCACAATGAGTAAAGGGCCATTTTCTTGTGCTGGCTGGTCACTGTTCTGGTGGAGGTAAGGGGAAAAGAGGGAAGTGGAGGGAGAGGGGAAGCATGTTCCCACCAACCAGACCAACCTAATTCCTGTTCCCCCAACATGCTGGACCTCCCCTATTCCCCCACAGCACCTTGAGTGTCCTGACCAGTGAGCTAGACTCCCATCGTCTGGATATTTCAAGACCTGGGTCTTTTCCCAGGAAAATGTAAGCTTCAGGAAGGGCAGGGGAGAATCTAGACAAGCCACTTGTCACTTGTCTCTTCCCTTTCCACTCCCATGCCCTTATTGGGTCTCCTTGCCTCACAGAACCTCTGTCCCCTCCCGGAACTATGGCCATTTCTGCCTCTTAGCCCCCCTTTCCTAACTCTGGGTGCCTTTTTACTCCTAAAGTGCCCAGTGATGGCTCACTCCCTGGGTGGGCATCTGGGCTTCCCAAATGAAGACCACAGAGTGGCCCTGCCTGTTTCTGACACTTAGCCCCCTGCCAGGGCCACACCTGCCACTCCCCAAGCCTGGCCCAGGATCTTGGCAGGGGGCTGGCCCCAGTTTGAAACCAGAATGCTGCCTCTGCCTGGGCGAAGTGTGTATGTCTGTGTGTGCGCGCGCGCGGGCGCCCTGAAGGCAGAGATCCAAGAGAAAAGTAAAGGCGGGACTCTGCCCAGCGGCGCTCGGTCCCCCGTGTCCACCCCTAGGCCGCCCCCGGACCCCCTAACCCCACTCGCCCAGCTGCCGGGACACACCGGTCGTAGGACCCAGAGGCGCAGGCCTGACGTTTCCGCGCCTGAAGACACGCCCCCCTCTAGCACCGCCACCCCCGAACCCCGACTTTCGCAGCTCGGAGCCTCGGACCCCGGACGGAGCGCTGCGGCCAGCCTGCCTGGGGGCGGAGGTCGCCTCCGGACGCAGCCACGCCGGGACAGCCGCAGAAATGAAAGTGGCAGCGAGGCTGGGCCGTGCGCCGGCGGGGGCGCGGGCGCTCACTCACGGGGACCGCCTCGGTCCTCCTCTGGCCGCAGGGTCACATCCCCGGCGCGCCGGGTCGCCTCCTGCTCCGGTCCTCCGGCTGGGCCGGTTCTCTCGCTTGTGCGCCCGCCCGGCCGGGCCGCGGTCGCCCTCCGCCCCCGCGGCGTCGCCAGCTCCGCCCCCGCCCTCGCGGGCCCCGCCGCGCCGCGGCCTCCGGGCGGGGAAGGGGCGGGGAAAGGGGACCCCCTCCCAGTGCACAGACGCACTCCGCCTTTCCGGAAAGTCCGAAGCGCGCTCCCAGCTTCCCTCTGGGCGGAGGACTGACTGAGCAGCTGGCCCTGGCAGCAAAGTCCCTGGGCTTTGCCACAGAGGCAGCCTCAGCTTCCTCGACTGTGAAGTGGGGACAGACCCAGCCTCTGTGTGGAGCAGAAACAAAGGGGCTGCTAGGTAATGGTGGTTTCCTTGTCCTCCTAGAATCATCTGTGTCCCAGTTGTCCCTGAGCTCAATCAGGGATGGGGCTGCCCTCTCCACTCTCGTACCCCAAGTTCCTGGCAAAGTGCCTGGCACATAGCAGACACTTAATGCCCATTTTCTGGGTAAATGAATGCTTTGGGAAACACAAGCTGAGTCCCTCACCCAGCACTGAAAGGACTGGCCCTGAGGAATGCTCAGGTGACAGACGTTCACCTCCCCGACTGACCAAGGCTGGGGTCTTTGCTCAGGCTAGGCAGATTCTCCTCACTCCTCACCCAAAGTCACCCCATTTCCCCCCACAAGACCTTTGTTCCAGCTCTGCCCAGTTTGGAATATCTTCTTTACCTCCTTTCTTCCAGCCAAATCCAAATCTTTAAGACCTGACGTGCTCTCTCGGCTTTTCAGCTTAGGTTCCTCCCCTGAGGGCAGACAGATACCCCATAGCAGTACTCAAGGCACTATGGCCCCCAGGCCCAGAGATCAGTTGGCTGACTCTGTTCTGGGATGGGAGGGAAGGTTGGAGACCTTCTAGGATGGGAGGACCAAGACCGAGAGATGGGCTACAGAAGTCACTCTGGAGGGGTGCAGAAGATGAACAGGTGGGGGGGGGGGTAGGCATTTACTACTGCACTGATGCCCCACTGGGCTCTCCTTGTGTCTGGATCTTCTGTTTGCTTGATGGCAGGACAACAGACTGAATCCTTAAGAATCCCAGCTCATAGAACTGAAGATTCATTCTTTTGTTAAGCGCCTATTTTTGCCCCAGTCTAAAGTTCTTTTTTTTCTTGATGTCTGAGTCTTCACTCTGTCCCAAATCCCCTACAAGCAAACAATCACACGCTCTCATGTATGCAGAAGGAATTCTAATTTAGTCCTTCATTTGTTTGATATCCTAATCAATACCCTTTCTGTGCTCTGAGAGTAGACCAGGTGATGAAGCTGACCCTGTTGCTGACCTCAGGTGCTGACAAGTTAGCAGTAGGGACAACCCAGAGAGGGATAATACAAGGTCAGAGCTCAGTCATCCAGAAGTGAGAACATGGTTAGGGACTGCTGGCGAGCATTTTAAAAGCATGGGGTTATTCACAGGAAGCACATGGAACACTCAAATTGGGCCCTTTGAGGAGAGTTTAAGGAAAGCACTATTTAGAGGTATAGTCGGGGTGCAGGGAAACCACAGGGTGGCATATCACTGAAGGGCTAGCAAGAGCAGCCTTTTGCTATCTACCCTAGGCCGAAGCTGTGCCCTGAGCTGAAGGGGTGCTGGGAGGGAGTGGTGAAAGTGGGAACTATGAGGAGGAGGCGACTGACAGGAGCTGCGGCCTAAGCTTGACAGGCATACCCAGCTCAGAGCAATCATGGTGCAAAGGACTGGGGGTAAATCCTACGGAAGCCCTGGACAATGGAATGTCTATGCAGCCCATAGAGGTGGGCACTCTGGAGCCTAGAGCTGGAGGGAGGAGGGTGCAGAGTGTAGCCGGAGAGGCAACGGAAGATAAATGCTTGGCACATGGGCCCAGAGACTGTGACTTCACAAAGGAAACAGAAACTGCTTATGCTTTCCTTATCATTCAGTTCTAAATATTTTGAAATTTCATTGTCATTTCCTCTTTAACTCATGGATGATTTAGAAGTATGGTTTTAGTTTCTCAGCCTGTGGGAGGTTTATATTTTTCTTGTTGACTTCTAATTATCATGCATTGTGGTCGGAGATCATGGTCTGTAAGATACTTTGGAATGTGATGTGACTCCCTCTGTGGCTTTGTACATGGTTATTTGCTGTACCTCCGAGCTGGGTTTTCTAGGATGGGCAGGAGTTTGCCTGGTGAAAAGTGAAAAGCACAGAATCTTATGTTGTGGGAAATATAAATGATCCATTTTGAAGGCACTTCATAATTCCCAGCTCATCCTCAGAGCTCCCTGGTGTCTGCCTTAATACAAGCTGACAGGCTGACAGGTGGGATGGGAGGCAGATGGAAGGGTTGGGAGAAGCCAGAGATGACCCCAAATCCCTCAAACACCTGTACCCTCTTCCTATGGCTCTCAGTCTGGGCTAGAGAGACTGTGTTCTTCCAGGAGGCTCTTCTGGGACTAAGACCCAGACCCTGGAGAACAAGGTCCTGGCTATACCACGTATTAGCTGTGTGACCTTAGGTTACTCCTGCCCTCTCTGATGGCATGCTGGAACCCTATAGGACAGGCACTGGTCTGTGCCACTGTGTCCTGAGTATAAGTGGCTCAAATAAGGCCCTGTCTCTAAAGCTTGGCGGGAGCCATCGAGGGCCTAGTTGAGGACGTACTCTCTTGCACCGCACAGCCTGAGCACATGACTCCTCTAGGAGAGCTCCAGGGGGCCGCGGGGCTGTGGCTAGACCTGGGCCCCTGCCCTGCTGTGTGTGTCTGGGGAAGTCTCTGCCCCTCTCTGTGTGTCTCTGGGAAAGTCTACTTTCCCCATTTGTACCACAAAAGTATCTTCCAGCCACACCATTCCAAATGCCTTTTCAGGACCAACTTCCAGCTCCTGCCCCCACAGGCCTGTACCCGGTGACTCCACTGATACAGAGTGACCTCTCCCTGGGGACTCCCCAGCCCTCCTGTGCCAGGAAAGCCCCCCTCATTTGCACACTCCTCCCAGAATGAACTACAGCACCCCCAGCTCACCCCACCCAGGTATCTGGCAGCATCTATAGCCTGATGGCGCCCCTCTTCCCTTCACTCTCCCAAGAAAAGGTTTCTATTTCAGCTTCTGCCCCTCCCTGCCCAGAAGGCAGGATCTCTCATCCTGAGTCTTTCATCCTGGCAGTGAGGAAAAAGTGAGGGATACGTCATGGCAGTAAGAGGAATTGAGCTGACTGCCTTTAGCTTGAGGAAGACAAGGTTCAAGGGAATGTGACAGGGGAAGACAAGGTCGAAAAGGATTTACGGTAAAATTCTGTGTGACTTTGGACAATGCGTTTATTCTCTCCGAGTCTATTTCTCCTTCTGTAAAATAGAAACAACAACAACAATAATATGTGCCCCACAGAAGAGCTGTGAGGGTCGGATGTGATAGTCCTTGTAAACTGCGGAAAGCTGTAGCCAGTCTTTTGGGGGGTGCTGCCTTCAAGCATCCAGCAGGCTTATGTGCAGAAGAGGGATTGCACTGGTCCCCGTGGTCCTGGAAGCCAGGCGGCAGAGACCCAGGC